GACTGCTTTGGTGGTGTCTGTATATATATATATATATATATTATATCTTCCAGGCCATTTTGAGCTTGAACAAAAAAAAAATGTTAGCACCAGGAATGTGCCTGCTGTCACATCTGGGTTGTGTAAACTGTCTTTAGATCCATTTCACTGTATCTTAGTGTAGGATCTATTTCCAGATGACAATGATCCACACACCTAGTCAGTGTTCTCCCCCCCCCCTCCCAGTTTCTTCTGTTGGAGTACAAGATAACCCTTGATTCCCCAGTTTCAAGTTGTTGGTGAAGCTTATATCAAGTTTCTTATTGGATGGTATAAACTCGCTTTTGTAGGACTGAGCAAACACATCCCTAATTTGAGAGTAGGGCTCATTCTTGATGAGACAAACTAAATGCACTGGAAATGGGAAGGAGGGGTGGGAGAGAGTTATCTATATGAATTACATTTTCAGGTAAGGGAAATGTTAACTTACATTGTACAAATTTAAATGATGGGCAGGGTTATGGTTATTTCCAATTACCATATTGCTTTTGGTGTTTAAATTAGAGTTATATAATAAAGGTCAAATTTCAATTAGATACATTTTATAAACAAAAACAGACTTTTTGAGATGTCATTTCTTTTTTATATTTTTATTGTTGCAGGGGTTTTCTTTCAGAACCTTTTCTGTGCAGAGAACAGGAAGGATTTTATTTTGTGACTGATTCGACACAGTACATTTCCAATGCTGAAGGTGCAGTGTCTATAAATATGGTCTTATTGTATTCCCCAAGATATTTTTACAAGTATATCTAAAATGGTGCAGTTTTAAGGGTAGCTTTTAAATGCTAGAAATCATCAACTAAAGATAAAACCCTGTAACTTGCAACAACTGGGGGAAGGTTATTGGATAAACTTCCATCCTGCCCAATGGAAAGAAAATCCCTGTATTGTAATCTTATAGACACTAATTTCGCTTATGTTGTTGACTTTATTATTCAGACTTCACTCACTTGTTCGACTCTGCAAAACATTAAAATACACTAACAGTCTACCAGAATCCCATCAGGCCGTCTTGAAAAATTACAAACAACACCTTGAAAAAGTGCGAGTGTCCATAGAGCACAACTTTGAGATCTTCAAACTCATCATTCGAGATGTTGCTCATATGTTTGAAAATGCAGATCATTCTAATGACATGGTAAGTGTTGTTGTTCCAATAAGAATTAATATTCAATTCTTTAACTGGATAATACATTGTAGCTTTTCCTAAAACGTTTTTCATGTAAGATAATTTTTATACAACATTCTGGAATGTTTTAGAAACATTTTCATTCTGTTTTATCTTAAAATAAAGTAAATTATTTAAAGGAAAGTACTTTATACAAACCATTCTTAATGTGGATTTTTGTATATCATGGAACATGCGTAATCAAATTAATGGGTTAAATGCATTCTGGAATTTCTCCCTAATGGAAGAGATTGTCACTCTCAAGAGATTAGCTCTTTCAATCAAATTATTTTTGTTTTTGAAATCACAGAACTATCCTCTTTCTTCCATTTGTTTTGCATATAAATATTCTGAGGTTTGACCTGCATATCTTGTAAGCTGTAAGTTAGTGGTATGATGGGCTTTCTCTCAAATAGGAAGTCTTTTGTCTAATACTAGTCAGTCCCACCTTTTTTCTTTTTCTTAAAAACCTAATTACTTTTTCTCCTTGTTATTTGGTTTTATCTATACCTGTCAACAATTTAGTTTTTATGATTTTTCCATCCATTCATACTCCTTATAGCTAGGAAGGAAGCATGAATAGTAGAGCCACAGCAACAATTCTAAACATCATATGTTATCAAAGATTCCTTTTCTTTCACTCGTGAATTTTTTCAATTTTTGGTCACTGACCAATATATTATGGCAAGCTTTGACACTGATCTCTTTACTAACATTCCTTTAGAATAAACCATACAAATCTGTTTTAACCAACTGTTTCCCAGTAACAATAGCCTGAGGGCTGGATGGAACTAACAGCAACTTGCACAACTACTAAACCTAGCTTTGATAAAAAACCACTTTGTCTTTAATGGTTAGTTGTGTGACCAGATAGACGGCACTGCAATGAGTTCATCACTAGGACCTTTTCTAGCTAATATCTTTCTTTGTCATCATGAACACGTGGCTGAACTAGTGTGACGTTACAATCATGCTCTACAAAAGGTATGTAGATGATACATTCTTACTCTATCATAACCATGAACACATTAACAAATTCCTTAACTCCCTTAAACTCTTCAAACCCTAATATCATAGAGTCGATAGCTAAGATATACAATAGGCATAAAACAAATATGAATACTAAAAACTCAACTTTGACAGAGATTTTTACTTTAAAAGATGATTGCCACTCGCCTTCATTTGTTGCTCTACTCAACAAGCCAAAAAACAAGGTAAGATACCAGACCAGAAAGTGACATGACCAACCCACTAAATTGTTCATCTTTCTTCCTCTTGTTTCTATCAAGACTACAACTATTTTATCACTAATGTCAGTTTAAATCTAAATCCACTGTGAGCAATGCACGATGTCATTGACTAGTTGTAATAACTAGTAGTAATTGAAAAAAAAAATCATAATTCTAGTGTAAATGATGTTATCATAACCCCTTGAAGTTAGCTTTTTTACAGAAATATGAAGTTCCTTTAAAAAGCGTAAGTACAGGGTGAAACAGAAATTACCAGCCAATAATAGATAAACATTGGATGATTGTAACATGTAGAATACTCAATGCTTTGTATACTATACAATCAATATCTTTAGGGAGCCAACCTCTATATTATGTATGAAGTGAAGGAGTAAAAAAAAAAATCAATATACATAATATTAAATTTTATTACACACATTTATAGAATACGCTCATTTTCAGTCAGGGGAAACATCTCCCAAATCATGTAATAAAGTACATTTTGTTAATGTAAAATGATGTAGGGATGGCAATGCCAAAAAGAATGCAAACAAGGGTTTAGGGATGACACAGCTACACATAGATCGACTTTACACGACTTTCAATATTAACATTTAATGTTACACAGTAAAATGCTTTTGTTGATAAAGAAATGCTAACCCATTGTAGGTTTTTTTGTTATAACTTTGTGATATTTCTAACTGGTTGAAAAGTGGCTGTTTAGCACTACTTTTACTGAATCAATGATTCTGTTGACAACCATGTCAAGCAAAATGTGGTAGGGAACAGTAAGGTAACTTTCATGGAGCATTTAACATGCAAATGCAAGCATCCATGTTGTGGAATATGCTTCAGATGCAGCTGTTGTGGTTGTTCACGTGACGGATTATTTCCTGCAGTAAAAATATCTTGAAAACATAGTGTGAATCAGCCAATGAATCCTCTGGTACTTCAGAAATGGACACAAGAAGTAAATCGAATTCCAGCTGCTCTTTGGAGAAATTTATTCTTGGTTGGGTGTTATGTCTGCTAGATGGTAAAATTTATGGCTAAAAGTTTATAGATTGATTTAACTACAATGTTGTTGAAATTTTCGAGAAAGATTTAGAGGATAAGTAAATAAAATGGGCTCCTGAAGAATGCTTGAAGAACTGAGATATACATATCCTTATCAGTTCAATATACCATCTCACACAGAAATTCATCAATGTATCAAAGCCCTGACAGTGAAGTACCAAAAAAAAAACATGGTACCCCTCACATTATTTTTTCCAGGGGAATACAACAACCTTACAGAGACACATTGATGTCCATTGTGTCTGAATCAAACTACACATACCTAAAAATGCAGTATGTGAGTTCAAGATGTGGCATAAAGACAATGTTTGCCATGACAATTTCCCAAGTGATGATCTGTTAAAATTTATAGTACTTACTGGAGGGATTTACACATTTTAATAAATAGGTTAGAAAACAATGACCTTTATACTCAGATATTTATAAAATGACTTTTTATTGTAACCAGTGTTTTGCATTTGTAGCTTCATAAGGGTTATTACATAAAACTGCTTGATATTAGAACTTCCAAAACATACATACCACTTCTCCCACTTATAGCTATTACTCAACTGCCGGAGTTTCTTCCTTTGCCCATCTAAGTATTGATCTGATTTTTTTCTTGCTTACTTCAGTCTTTTATACCCCACTCAATTGCCCTTGGCAATATTTATCTCGAGATACTATTAAGATAATGTTATCACTTTTTCTCGACAAAGCATCACTAACAGGTTTCCCAGTATTACAATCATTCGGAGGTGCTTTGGATATTATCCGAGTTATTTAGTTGATTTTTGTATTAATAATATTAATAATTTAATAAAAAAATTATTCTGATTGACAAGCCAGTTTATGGTATGAATTCCCAGGTTTATCCAATCCTACCTCTGATATCTAGCATCATGCAACAATCAGATTTGTGGTGGTTCTCCGGGGGGCTCTGAGGCTACATTGAGGGCAATCCTCAACATTCTGGAGAGATTTCAGATTCACTTTTTCCAGCACCTTCTTTTAGTCTGTTGGCTTTTCAGACCCCCTGTGGGACAGTGGTGAGTTTATGGACTCACAGCACTGGGGTCCAGTGTTCAGTTCCCTAGGGTGGATGGCTCAACATTGCTTTGCTCTAACAAATTTACCTCCCAACATGCTGTTCCAATCAATGGTAATCACAGTCTTTAAATGACCTTTGAAAAACGAGAGAGGGACCACTTTGGGATATGCTGCCTTTGATTTTGTTACGACAGTGGAAGTCACGTGACGCTGGGAGCATGCGTGCTGGAGTTTCTCGAATTATCAAGGAATCCCACGAATGTCGAAGTGTTTGCTAGATGCTCTCTTTTTTAGTATATAAGCCTGGCAAAGAAAGCCAGCCATATAGATAGATAATTAAAAAAGCGAACAGTAGTGGTGGTAAGTAAAGTGTGTGAATCACTGTGATTTATAACATGTATTATAAAAGTTGTTAAATTTAAAGTGACGAGAAAAAAGTACTGGCTGTAGAATTACTGTGTACTAAAAGTTTGTATCAAGAAAGAATAAACTGGTTTAATCAAGAAAGGACTTGTATTGCTGAAGTTCGTCGGAAATAATTTGTACCGGAAATTAACAAACAACCCTGTTCCTCAGGGCTCCCCAATGAACTTAACCCCCAGATTATACTAGTGGAGCTTGAGAATCCTTACCACACCCAGTTTCCAGTCACTGGGGTGGTGGACAGAAGTTTTTCCTCCAGAGTGTTAGAGTGACTTCCTCCATTCTTGGAGAAGAGGGCAAAGTTGGAGGCCCTCCTACCCAGGTCCCAGGATATTTTTTTTCACGGATATCGGTAGGAGTCGCAGAAGCCTACTCCTAATACCAATTCAGATTTGACGTTGAACTATCCGGTTGGGGGTGTGCATGGCTATTCTCTTTGATCATTATTGGTTCAGTACATTGAAGAGGGGTCCACTATCTCCTCGTAATTCCAAACACAAGTGGTCCCATCCTGGGTTCTTTGTTGAGCACAGTTGTTCCACGTCCTTCTCGTAATTCTTGCCCACACAGTTGGAAAGTGAGATGGATGTTAATAATTTCAGACCAGGTGAGTTCTGTTTCCTTTAGTTGAGTAAGGCATACACAATCTCGTCATTCTGAGCCTGGAGTGTTGCCTGTCAGACTTCTTCCACTACAGTGTTGCTTACTTTCTCATCATGATTTTGGTGGCTCGGAATACATCACTCTATGGCTACAGGTTAGGATCCACTTATATGTATAAATATATATATATATACAATGTCTGCGGTCCAATTGCCTTAGCCACCAACATGGGATGTAGGGACCACGATCCCTTAATTCTTACCCCGAGTAGTGTAACCTTGGCTATTTGGTTGGGCCTGGCCCATAGTGATGATAACTCATGTAAAATTTCACCCACAGTACAGGAATTCAGTTGTAGGTGAAGGGCATACCTGTTATAGATGTAGTGCAGTTCCCCCACTAGGGTGCCAATCTTCTGTTGACACACCCATGATCTATGCAGACACTTTCTGTATGGATAATGCTCTCACTGGCTCATTCATCTCATCAATGTGGGATTCTAGCTATAAGTGGGAGCAGAGTTATATTTGTTTTGTAAGTTAACATTTTCTTAAACTTAAAATGTATTTCCAATCATACTTACCTCTGTTCTCACTCTCCCACCCGTCC